TATGCCCTCTTTTAACATGTTCAATTGTCAACAGTTCAATGAGCTTCAAGATTGTTACCTACAAAAGAGGCGCTATTGGGCAAGACAGTCGCAGAAACAGGGAGAAAGGGTAGCAAATATCATGAATAGAGTAGGTTATTCTGCGGGACTTGAGGATTTTCAATCTGTTCTGTCTACCTTTACACGATACAGGTACATCAGTTCATCTAATAATAGTAGTGTTGGCTGCAAATGATCCTAAATATTTGTGCTTACCGTTCTTTTTTCAACTGTGCTTGTTGAAATAGTAGTCTGCGGGTTGTTGCTGAACTCAGGCATTCTGACATTTTCCACTCAGCCAATATTGTTTCAAGGTAAGAAGTTCATTGTAAAATCCAAAACCTTTTTTTCTTCAGTTGTCCTTTTTTCGAAACTAGCACTAGAGATAATCGGTTATTGAGAAACAGGCTACTCTTATTAGTAGTTTTTTTCTGGATACGTTATAGTCAAACCTTTTTTGTGTGTGTTTTTGCAAGCAACTAAATTTCCTCTTCTTGACAGTATTGAATTTGACCGAGATGATGAATTGTTTGCTACTGCTGGGGTATCACGAAGAATTAAGGTCTTCGAGTTTTCATCAGTAAGTTCATGCTTCATGTGAGCTGCTTAATTTTTGCTTATCTTCCCACACAAAAAAATTCTGCTTGTAGTTTAATGATTGTTTTATTAATTGAACTTTGTTTCTAGCCCCTTTTGTCTTCTCAGATAGGATTTTCACATGCTAGATGTTTTCGGAGAAATTTAACTGTTTGATAATTGAACTTTGTTTTTTTTTAAAAGATACAATTTGCTAATTGTTGTATGTTCTCTTTATCAGGTGGTAAACGAACCAGCTGATGCGCAATGTCCAATTGTTGAAATGTCTACCCGATCTAAACTAAGTTGTTTGAGTTGGAACAACTACACTAAAAACCACTTAGCAAGCAGTGACTATGAGGGCATAGTAACGGTTTGGGATGTTACAACTCGTCAGGTAGTATCATCTTTTATCTAGATCATGAAAACACCTTCATATGAATCTGCAGTTTATATCTGATGGGATAAGATGAACACTTTCTTTTTCAGAGTGTGATGGAGTACGAGGAGCATGAAAAACGAGCATGGAGTGTTGACTTTTGTCGTACTGAACCTTCTATGCTTGTATCTGGTAGTGATGATTGCAAGGTAAATAGAAATTCGGAATATGTGTTTTCTCAAGTTTACGTGTTTCCTAATTTGGTTTCTGGAAAGAAAATCATAGTGTTTCTGAAAGTAAAACAAATTTGACAAATGAGGTAAGGTGAAATTGGGATTTATCTAATATCTTTCTGCTCGGAGATCTGAAGTCAGTGTACTAAATCGAAAGAACAGAACTTGGTTTGACGAGGCTCTATACTTGAAATGCGCTAATTAATTTCTCAACAGGTTAAAGTTTGGTGCACGAATCAGGAAGCTAGTGTTCTTACCATTGACATGAAAGCTAACATTTGCTCGGTGAAGTATAATCCTGGATCCAGTGCTCACATAGCTGTAAGTTTCCATTGAAGGTTTATTTGTATTTCATGTTAAAGGTTAAATTTTCAAACTAAGGCGTGAACCTATATATATATAAATTGCAGGTGGGTTCTGCAGATCATCACGTTCACTATTACGACTTGAGAAATATTAGCCAGCCACTGTACATTTTCAGTGGACACCGTAAAGCTGTTTCATATGTAAAATTTCTATCAAACTATGAGCTAGCTTCTGCATCAACCGATAGTACACTACGTTTGTGGGATGTCAATGAGAACGTTCCAGTAAGTAATCATGCTCCCATCATTTTCACAATCAGAAAGATAATATCTAATTCCTGAGAGCCAGTCAATATGTGAAAACCAATTCATACTGAACCAGCATTTTCCTTGTTCTGTTTTTACTCTCAGCTGCGTACGTTTAAAGGACATACAAACGAGAAGAACTTTGTTGGTCTTACAGTAAACAGTGAATACCTTGCATGTGGAAGTGAGACAAATGAAGTCTTTGTCTATCACAAGGTATATTTCTGAAACTAGTTGAGAACAAACGATTTAACATCGTTTTCCAATGCTTAATCTGTTACTGAACTATATGTGCAGGCAATTTCTAAACCAGCAGCTTGGCACAGATTTGTTTCTGATGATCAGAATGATCCAGACGGGGACATGGGATCATTTTTCATCAGTGCTGTTTGTTGGAAACGGGACAGCCCAACGATTGTTACAGCAAACAGTCAAGGGACAATAAAAGCACTTGTTCTTGCTGCTTGATCATAACATTTGATTGATCAAACAATCAATCAAACACAAATGATCGATAACGTTTGACTGATGAAGAGGCTTTATTGCAAAGGAAAAGAGGTATGAGTTCTCCATTGTACAGGAATGCTAACATTGGTTTTCGATTTTGGTGGTTCCTTATAACAAAGTCTGTTTGATGGGAACGCAGATGTAGCTTTTGACGTGTGATTACATAGTAGTAGAACAACTACGCCTCAGTCCCAAACTGATTATATAGTAGTAGAAGTCACATAATTCTTATAGTTTGTGAATCCTCTCTTTAATGGGGTTGTGTTTTATAGTTTATAGTATATAGAGATCAGGATAGTAGAGTGAAAGTTGTAGTGAAAACATGAATTTTACTTCTGTAAAAAAACTGTTTTGCCAGCTTTACCATGTAAAGCATTATTTTCACACTTTCTATTCTTTTCAATTGTCAAAGGTCTTTTTATTAGTCTCCATTTTCCACTCCTCCCCTCACATAGTACTAAACTGATAGAGACTATTTGAAGTTTTGGAAGTAAATTTCATTTAGACATTTGAATTACGGCATACTTCAATTGAGAACGTAGTCACGTGATGAAGTGTTTTACGCATTTTGGAATCAAATTTTTAAGAAGCTTCGGTGTGTATTTTCAAGCTCCCATTACATGTATAAGTTAAATCACATAAAATTTGTTACTTTCGTTAGTTATACATATCAACCTCAATTAAAATATAGGAGGTTTTACGACTTGTTGAGGCTAATAATGTGTATGATTAAAGGAGGTGTATTTAATGAGATTTTGAGAACTTGCACTTTAACTTTTTCAAAATTTGAGTCGGGAGTGTCTAATAGAAACACTTTATCATGTGTTCATGTGCTTAGTCAGGACAAGCTATAATTCAAGTGTCTAAATAAAATTTACTGACAAGTTTAAGAGACTATCGATATATTTGCCTTGTTTATGTATGATACTTTTACCTACAAGTATCGTAAATTGGTGAGTTTCACACCGGTGTCAACCTATTATAACCCTCTTACTTTATTCAAATTTAAAACCGACAATGCCCGAATTATTATTCTATATTATATGATAATATTAGTGTCTGAATCTTCAAAGCATGAGGCGTCAATCGCGCCACCAATTGATTGGCCTTATCTTTCATGCAGAAAGGATAACATTATGTACTAATCATTATCTGATAGGAAGAAAAAACTAAAAGAGTTTAATCAAAATTGCATTTTTATTATAAATCGGTGAATTTTGAAATTTTATTATAAGCTGGTGAATTTTGAAATTCCAAAGCAAAGTTTATTAATAAAGGTACAATTTGACTTGACAGCTCATATAAATAGAGTTGGAAATTGATCTATCATGATTGATGAGTCATATGACGTTTACACATGCTAAAAATATTTTAAGACACTTTTTTCTTTGCTCTCTTGACAATTTTAATAAGTAGTCTTTCTCTTGTTATTTTCGCTCGATAATCGACCAATCCAAGAAAAAGTTTATAGACAAAAAATAAATGTATAAGTCAATCAAGAGGTACAATTTAATTTGACAGCTCGAATATATAATTGAAATATGACCTAATACCTACCATGGCTAATGAGTCATACATGATTCAACTTATTACCCAAAAAATATGCTATGATTAATATTTCAAGAACACCCATCAATGAATGCCAACAACTTCCAAATTGGTCACAAATCACCATACGTAATAAATATGGTTAAGTGCACTATTTTACAAGTCTTTTTCGAAACTTTTGTTTCTTTTTGCTCATGTTAAAAGTAGTAGTGCCCACTATTTTTTTTTTTTGTTCATTTAATCTCTAACCACAAATACAGTAAACTTTAACCGTCCAAAAAGGACTTGGCAAATATGGACACCTTATCGAATACCTCATTCCCACTTGCCTTCAATTACCTTATCACCTTCCAACCAAAACTTAAATGTTACTCCGTTATTTTTCACAAGTTTTATATCTTTAACTATTCACTATTTTATTTATCTATTATCATCTTTTACGAGTTTCAGTTTTAGCTATCACTATTTTGTATTTAAATTTTAAGCACACTTCGATGCTGAATTAGCTTATGTATATTGTCGATTTGAGACAAATATTTGGCTAACTAGGTGTGCAAACCAGTGATAGTTGAGGAGTAGAACTTGCGAAAAAATTGAAGTTTATGTAAATAGAACAATAGATAGTTAAAGTATAAAACTCGTAAATGTATGAAAGTTAAATATTTATTTATCATGAACTCTTTAAAACATTACTACAATTGAAAAACAATTTTTGTTATTACTCAAATATTATGTTTTTCTAAAAAATTAACCTTTTAAACTCTCTAAAACAAACATTTTTTTCTTAGAACAAAATCATTGGCTGCAAAAATATGTAACCAGAGACAACAGACAAGATATACGACTTCTAGAAATTTAAAAAAAAATTAATATTATCCTCCGTTATACTATCGAGTTATTATATCTTTAAGCGCTATTCAATACGCAGAATAAAGTAAATATTTCAAAATTATGTTTAGTATTAAACTTATATCGTCAATCAAATATAATATCAAACTTAATCCTAAATTTCTCATTTTATTTCATCTTTTATATAGGATATATTAACTCAGAGCCTATATGCGTGATAATTTAACCTTTGTACCAAACGATCCTTCAATGTCATACTATCGATCTATACAAATTATTCGATTTACACCGCGATATAAACCTTCACCCCGTAAACAGGCAGCGCAATTTAGCAGCCGGCCTTTAACCTTTATAAAAGGCCGAAGATCCGAAAAGATTCCATAGAATCAAAATTCAGTTTTATAAATATACATTTTTCAATTCCTAATTAAATACGTATCTCCTTTTTAACTTGGCGCCAACAGCAGCAATGCGATTGGAGAACGGCGATCGATCCACGTGTCATCCGATCGTTAATTCCAGCTCCGACGACGAAGACGACGGCGGTTTGCTGCTGGAGAGTTATTCACCGGTATTAGATGGTGAAGGACTTCTTGTTCCGCCTCTCAATTTCGCTATGGTTGATTACGGTGTTTTCCGGTCTGGTTTTCCTGATACTGCTAACTTTGCCTTTTTACAAACCCTAGGTTTTCGTTCTATCATGTGAGTTAGTTCGTGAATTCGATCGATCGGTTTCGTTACTTGAAGTTACGTTTTTATTGATTTTTTTGTTTGTTTGCATATTTTGTGTGTAGATATTTGTGTCCAGAGCGATATCCTGAAGCTAATGTGGAGTTTCTAAATGCTAATGGAATTCGGCTTTTTCAGTTCGCCATTGAAGGATCTAAGGTTGAGGTTATTTTCCGTAATGTATATCTCAAAATCAGTATGATATAGAATGTTATGATCATGTGATGGAATTGTCAAAAAAAAGAAGCATTTTGTTGCTGAGTGATACTGATCCGATTTTTCTGTGAGGAAGCTGTTGTAAACCATTACTTTTTGTATATTAAATAATTTCCGGATTATAACTCATCAGCCGACATAAGGAAATGGAACGAATAAAAGAGTTACTTTTTTTCTTTTCTTTTTTGGATAAGTCAAATAATTTCCAGAATATCACACCTAGTTGGTATTACAAAAATGGATAACGTAGTGTATAGTTAACTTAATCCTCAGTCCTTTGCCAAAATGTCTCAATTGATCTTTACAAGTTGTAAAGCATTACCAGAAAGGCTTGTTTGAAGTTTGGACTAAATGAATTGGGGAAGTTTGGGAAAGGACCAAGGATTAGCCAACTATACACTACGTTATCCATTTTTGTAATACCAACTAGGTGTGATATTCTGGAAATTATTTGACTTATCCAAAAAAGAAAAGAAAAAAAGTAACTCTTTTATTCGTTCCATTTCCTTATGTCGGCTGATGGTGAAAAAGACATTGTTTTTGCTCTCTAATTAGTTAATTGACTTGTTTTCTAGCTATCAAAGAATGTAAAAATGGGAGTTAGTTGACTGGTTATTTAGAAAGAGTCTATTTATTGGCATTGAATACTTACTCTATATGTTTGTTAACTTGTTCTCATCCTTATTTATTCCATGTCTGAAGTTATTCTGATTTGTATAACAGGAGGTTTAATCATTAGTTTCTTACTAAACAGGCATTAGGATGCATCTTTCTTCAAGGACCAAAGTCAAAAGGTTTTGTGGTATTAGTTTGTAGGAGATGAGGTTATAAAATTTTGTGGTCTAGGATATTTTGAGTCATTTAGCAGCAGTATGTTGGAATAGTCACAGACCCTTGATTTCTCCTTTAGTTGTTGTGGAAGTGAACTATGTATCTGGCCATCGTGGCTTTGACTTACAGAACTAGTATACGTCATGTCAGAGTATTAAACTTGTACTTTTGGTTGCATGGCCCAAAATATGTTCTTGTTTCAAAACCGTCTGCAAGTTTTCATGTGTTTATATTCATCAACTAGTAGTTGAGATGGTTTTGTGATATGTTTGGGTTTCAGATAGCTGCAGACCTATAATAGGTTAAAAGATTTTCACCATGGGGATTGTCACCTGCAGCCTCATGCTGTAATTTTTTCTATGATTCTCTCAAGGGTCTAGTTCTTAAAGTTCCTCTCCCTCTTAAATTGCACTCTGCTTTTACAACAAAATGCAAGTATAGCTACAGTTCCTACTATTGCTTCCTTCTTAGCCACCACTCAACATTACTTGTCACAGTTCTACTTCATAAGGGCCTGCTGCAACTGGTGCTACTTGATCATTCTTAGCATTTATTTTGTCTTCCTTCTATTTGTTTTAGCTTTTAGTTTTCCTCTGTTCTTGATGCATGAACCAAATGGTTTCGGTGGTGGTGCAATACAGGTAATGCTGCAACGAAAATAATTCATAACTTAAGAAAGGAGGTAGGGAGTTTCTTGTGGTTTTCCAAAGCCTGAAGAAAGATTGTCCAGTTTCCACATTCTAAGTGAGAACAGATACATTCTAGTAGTTGAACCTGTTGGAGCTTTGCACTTTCTTGGAGAAAATCCTCCAATTGGTGTGTAGGAGAGAGAAATTTATCCACTAGCAATATGTAATTGCATTCTTTTCGGATTCACCAGAAGCAGGTCATATTAGCTGTCCGACTCTACATCCCAAGTCCCAACTAATTGGATTGCTAAACTAGGAAGATCACTAGATGATTGACTATGAAGAGAGAATCTGATGAATCTGCTGGTTTATCAAGTTTATTGCTGTTTGTCATATCTGTCATGCCATTTGATATGTAGCCCCCAATCAAGTCCATATGACTTCTTCTTTTCTTACCTTCCTGATGTTGAGCAGCCTTAGAGGAAGTCAAATAGTTGCCTATCAAACTAGGAAACCATTGTATTTGTCATACCCTCTTCTATGTTTTTGTTTTTTAATCATCATATGCTAGCTATGATTTCTCTCTGCTGTCCGAATGCTGGACAAAGCTACTCCAAATTTTTTGGTCCATCTCTGTCTCCTCCACTGAGGCTTGATTGGTGAATAAAAAAACGTCCATGTGTATTCTTGTCCTATAACCACTTTACCACATTGTATCTGGATATCCGAAGGTGTTGGTCAAGTGAAAAGACATATTTCTATTATGGAGATGGTTTGAAATTTAAACAAAGTACTAATATGGTTGCAATCTATACTGGAAGGTACACATACTACAAACATTAGTAGCAACATATATGAACGCTATGTCTGGTTTGCAGACATTTTAGAAATTTCATATGATTGTGCAAACCGTGTATGTGAATATTCTTATTGTTGTTTCTTTTCAATCTATCTACGGGTTAATAGGAAGCATTTCTTTCTAGTTGTTGATATGAAGCAAAAAAGTTTCATGTACTCGACTATTTCTCAATGCAGGAGCCACCATTGGTCAACATCCCAGAGGAAACAATAAAGGAAGCTTTGAGGGTTGTCCTTGGTAAGTATGAAGGGTTGCATTTTATCATATCTTGCTTTAGGTTTCTGTCCACTAGTTTTGCTAAATACATTCTGTATTACAATTTCTCTCGATTCTTTTTATAGATGAAAAGAACCGCCCTCTGTTAATTCACTGCAAAAGAGGAAAGGTAGTCCTTCATTTGTCTTTGTTTAAAAATCTGGCTTTCTTCTTACATGAATCTTCACTCAACATTTCTGACCACCGTTTACGTCTTGCGTGGTAAATTATGCAGCACCGAACTGGTAGCCTTGTGGGGTGCCTCAGAAAATTACAGAAATGGTGCCTCACCTCAATTTTTGATGAGTACCAAAGGTATGCTGCTGAGAAAACTAGAGTATCAGATCTGAGGTTCATGGAGTTGTTTGACATTTCCGGCTTCAAGCAACCACCAACATTCTGTTCACATTCCCCGAACTAAATGGATAAGATGTACAGGACGAGCGGCAATTTTGGCTTTCCATTTTTAACAGGATCAAAAAATTTGAGTCCACCCCCAAAAGTATTGGATTCCTTATATGAACTCTGGTTATGGTTTTCGTTAGTATCCGATTCTTCTTTTCATTTGGACATAGTCACTCTCTCTCTTTGTAGAAAGTAGATGCCATGGCCTATGATAAAGGGTCTCTCATCCTTAACTCTTTTTGTGTTCATTGGAGATGATCTGGGAATTGTAAAAGTTGTGCATTATTTTTGCTTATTAGAAGGGAAAAGGGAGGGTTATGTTTTCTTCAGTTTGAACTCAGTGCACCTTCATATTTTTCTCTTCATACCTTTGGTATACGGTTTTGAACTGTTGGAGGAGGTGATATATTTTAAGTAGTTAAATTGTATTACAAAGAATTTGAGAACATGTGCAAATGTTTTTTCAAAATTTGAACCGCAAGTGTCTCTTTATTTATTCAGATTTGCAACAAGAAGTCAACAATCATTAAGTTAAAACTTTAATTCCAGTTCAAGTTACAAAATTGTGGAGTAAACAATCATACTACTACAACAACGAACTTAGTGGGAAAAGGGGTGTCTGAGGAGGATAGAGTATATGCAGAGACTTTATCTCTACTTCATAAAGACAGAGAAGGAGGAAAGATTTCTCACTTATGATCGAAAATCATTTACGTCGTATAAAGCACCTTGGTTGGTTGTTGCTGTTAAAATCCCAACCTTTCTACTCGAAGAGTTGTGAGTTTGTTAAAAAAAAGACAAATCACTTTGATAGCAACTAAGATAGATTTGTCTTTACATTTTCAGTTATCAAAACTTTTTCCTCACCACATGTAAACGTATGTTATCCTAGTGTTTTAGAATTATCAACTCTTTTATCTTGTGCTTTTTAATTTCTTTGGTATTCAATTTCCTACTCAATATTTAATATACGTGGTTTGAAGCCTTAATTAATTTAAATTTGTACCGTATAAGACTCACTTCCTTTATTAGGATATTTTCTATTTTTAAAGTTCGAATGTGAAATCTCTGATTAAGAATAAATGAATATTAATTTTTCTATGATAACCTTGAATAATTTATCGTATGCTTGTTAATATACAACATGCTATTTCCCTTTCCTTTTTCTCAAAGTTTTCTCTAGTGTGACCTTTTGATAGATTAAAGTGGATTTACATGTTGTCTTGTACATCAATTTGACTCTTTGAGAACTCTCAAAAGAAAAAACTACTAATCAGCATTCATTAATGCTTCATTAATCTTCACTAATTATATTTTTTTTCTACTAAAAATATGACAAGATCAAGAAACTCCTAAAAATTTATTAACTAAAACTTAAAATAAACGTCTTAAATAGAAGCTTCACCAAATTGAAGCCCTCCTAGACCCCAGCAAAATCAGGTGGAGGTGGGGGCAAAACAAGCCCAACAATGCGTAAAAATCAATCAATGCACCACAAATCTCATCATAACAATAGTAACGAATTTGGATTCATAATTTAAAATTTATGTGTTTAATTTTGAAGATTTTTAGTATCGGTTCATTAATTATTTTTTAAATTTTTTTGATTTCAAATCTACTATTTAATATTATTTCTTACATTTAAATACACTATGGGGGCCTCACCCCTACCCTGGAAATCCAAACCAAGTTTATTCCTGCGCATATTCGAACCCTTTTACGTAAACATAGAAGTTAAAAGACGAAATAATAACACTAATGTATTCCGTGTAGTTTTATAAAATGAAATTTGAAAAAAATCATACACATATCTTACCTATATTTCAAATAGAGATATAATTTTTCATGGACTAGTTTAAATACTTAATAAAAGAATTCTTTATAGCATGTTTGAATTATAAAAATAGTCATTAATATTTACATAGAGTAAAGTGTTCATATTGCAAAATTATTATAATCTAATAAAAAAATATTAGGAACTCTGTCGAACATGGCATGATAGCGAAATATTATTCTTTCCTACAATATTTTTCGATGTCTCAACAACATAATTCATAAAATCGCCTTTGTTAAAGAACGGTTATCGTTAAGTTTCATTAGGTGTCACCTAATTGAAGAATATTTATAGGTGTTAACTCTTCTCCTCTTTCCCTCTCTACATTCACACACTATATCTATCACTCCTCTCCATACTCTCTGCTCCTCGAGAACTTTCTCTTCTCATTTCTCTCTGTAGATCAAAATCTTCTTCTTCGCTATGGCTACTGCTACTACTCTTTCTCCTGCTGATGCCGAAAAGCTCAACAATCTCAAATCTGCCGTCGCCGGTCTTAATCAAATCAGGTAACTTCTTTTTTTTTTACGAATTTTTCCATTTCCAGTGCTGTTTTGTTACTGATTGTGATATAATTAAGTTGATTTGGATCCAGATGCTGATTTTAATTTTTTGTTTTTTTTTTGGCTCAGTGTAAATGAGAAAGCTGGATTTATTAACCTTGTCGGTCGCTATCTAAGGTACAGTTAATAGTTTTGGAGCTATCATTTTGGTTATTAGGAGTACTAAGTAAGAATTGTAAATTATCAGCTTTTTGATGTGTTTGAAAAATTTGCTCAAATTTGTGAGCTTTAGCAGATCAAGTTGGTTTGTAGCTTGACAAGTGCGAATCAATTTGCATTTTTGATTTGTTGTATGGTTTAGTTTTGGTTATTGATGGTTGATCTGTTGTGGCATTGGGGATAAATAGTGGTGAAGTGCAACAATTGACTGGAGTAAGAGTAGTGATGAGAATTGTGATTTAATGCTGAATATTTTACTTGATATGAAATTGTTGTTGGTTAGTTGATGATTTGTAGTGTGTGTGCAAAATTTACTTGAATTTCTGAGCTTTTGTAGATTGAGTTAGTTTGTATGTAGTGTGTGCGTGTGTGCGGAATGTACATAAAGATCCGAGCTTTTGCAGATCAAGTTACTTTGTATAGTGTGTGTGTGAACGCAAAATGTACATAACAATCCGAGCTTTTACAGATCGAGTTAGTTTGTATAGTGTGTGTGTGTCTGTGTGTGTGTGCAGGATGTACATCAAGATCTGAGCTTTTACAGATCAAGTTACTTTGTATAGTGTGTGTGTGTGCGCACAGAATGTAGGTAATGATCCAAGCTTTTGCAGATCAAGTTAGTTTGTATAGTGTGTGTGTGTGCGTGCAAAATGTACATAAATATCTGAGCCTATGCAGATCAAGTTAGTTTGTATAGTGTGTGTGTGTGTGTGAACAGAATGTACATAAAGATCTGAGCTTTTGCAGATCAAGTTAGTTTGTGTAGTGTGTGTGTGCGAAATTTGCATAAATATCCGAGCTTTTGCAGATCAAGTTAGTTTGTATAGTGTGTGATAAAAAAATGTACTTAAATTTCCGTGCTTTTGTAGATCAAATTAGTTTGTAGCTCGAAATGCGCAAATCACTTCAGATTTTTTGTTTGGTTTAGTTTTGGTTATTGATTGTTGATCTGTTGTGGCATTTTGGAATCGTAGTGGAGAAGCGCAACACATTGACTGGAGTAAAATCCAGACGCCAACTGATGAGGTGGTGGTGCCATATGACAACTTAGCACCTCTTTCTGAAGGTATTTTTACAGTATCATCTAAAGTTTATATTTTTGTGATCTGTCATAATCATGATCAACGAGTGTCAGCACGGATTGTTTAGTATTAGATCGGTTTGAATATATTTCTCGAGAAGTTTGATTATCTTGATTAATGCAGATCCCGCGGAGACTAAGAAGCTTTTGGACAAACTTGTCGTCCTGAAGCTCAATGGAGGCTTGGGAACAACAATGGGATGCACTGGTCCCAAGTATGTATATGCAGCTTTTTTCTAGCCAATTTGAGGCCTTATATTTATTGGAAAACAGAGTTTATTGAAAATTTGACTTCATTAAGCTTGCTTTATTGGCGTTAACCCATAGTTTAAGAGCACCCGCTGTTTGAAAGTGAATACTGTTGGTGGATCTAGAGTGTTTTACTCAACCTTCTATGTCTTTTTTCATCTGATGCTGTTTTTTAGACTCGTCCGCTGGGAGCCTGAAAATTTCTAAGTCGTGTACGAGCTGGTTGATGTTAGCACCTGCTTTGCTTATATTTTTTCCAGTTAAAGCGATATGCTTGACTATTTATTTTACTTGAATATTGTGTTTTTTAAATACTAGAAGTCATCAGATAGGAGGGTTCTTTTAGTTGTGTATTCTGGCTGATGGGGGGTATCTTCAACCATTATGTGATCTAATTACCACTATGATTTGGTGGAGTAGGAATACTGTAAAACAGATACTCCTACTATACAATTTTTCTGCTTGTGATGCCTTTTAAGTTTTAGGAACTCAGATAGCAGTAAAATTAAGATGGTTTGTGGCTACTTGTAATTAGATCAGATTCAATCATTCAGCTCACCTGTCGGAGGCCAGGATCTATCCTCCTGTGTCATGCTGTAAATAAATATAATGTTACTCCAGCAAATGTGTTTCACCTTTAACCATGCATATTTATTTTTGAAGCATTTGTATGCTTGAACCTAGAGAGCAATTAAATGTTGGGAAGACCTGGCCTTCCTTCTACTGTGAAAAATATTAGCTTTCAGAAACTTGCAACTGCATATGGAGATGATGTTCTCCACTTAAAAGCAAAGTTGTAGATTGCATTTTTTGTTTATCTTATAAGATGCAGAAATTTCAAGTTCCTTTTTTTTTTGTTGATGCAGATCAGTTATTGAAGTTCGTAATGGTTTGACATTCCTCGACTTGATTGTCAAGCAAATTGAGGTACCACATATCAATGGAATATTTTAATCCATCATGGTGTTCCACTTTTAAATGTTCTCTGATTAACTTGATTAACTCGTATTCTGTAGGCCCTCAATGCCAAGTTCGGATGCAGTGTTCCCCTGCTTTTGATGAATTCGTTCAACACCCATGATGATACACTGAAGGTGAAACAATATAACTTTGATGTCTTCTCTTCCATGGTTTTGTTTTCTGTTTGGCTGAGTGCAAGTGCTGACTTCTTACCATTGCATTCTCTATGTAGATTGTAGAAAAATATGTGAACTCAAACATTGATATTCATACATTCAATCAGGTCAGTGTGACTTATCATTAGTGATATCAAGTATCTATCAGCTTGTATCTGCATGGGAAAAGTTTTGGATTTGTAAAGAGAGATTTAACGTTTTCTGTTAAATATTCACAGAGCCAGTACCCTCGCCTGGTTACGGAAGACTTTGCCCCACTTCCATGCAAAGGCAATTCCGGAAAAGATGGATGGTAATTGACAGTTTAAGATGTGATATTTCTAATGATGTTCTTTTTCTTTCAAAATGAATCTTAATTCGAGTTCTGGAATATGTAAGCTGTTGGGCTCTCTGTTGAGTTATAACGAAG